AGTAAATTCTACTGAGTGACGTAGACTTCAATATAGATACGTGAATCTATATCTATAGTACAACTTTAAATTTTATTGTACACTTTCTGGTTTAAATCTTAAACTTTCATTACCTGCTACAGTATATTCAACAAATTTTTAAGATTAATTATTTTCATTAGTTTTTAAATAATAAAATTAAATATAAAAATACCCTAAATTAATTCATACCCCAAAAGTTTCCACTACTTGTAAAAAAACCCAAAATTAAGGGAAAATCCCCAGAGTTGGCATCACTGATATAAAAATAAACGTAACCAATCCAAGATTTCGCTTATGCACACGCAAAATGTCCCACTGTACGGTTGCCTCAAAAATTGTACTGCTAAAGTCACACTTGGTACGGGTTGCTTACTCATATTCTCTACTATAGTCACACATGGATACGGGTACCATATTAATGTTCTACTACTAAAAGCCCAAATGCCTTAAATCTGCTACAATGTTTTTATTACATATCCAAATATTTTTCGATTATTAAAATTCCTTAAGATTAAATTTACATTAATAAGTATATGTGTGATGATTAGAATCTTTGTAAATTATTTACTAATTAGTACATGCTTGGATTATTAATATGTTGTTCATGAATTGATTTATGGTATATATATTGTTTAAGATGTTATTTCGACTATATTGTAATGTTATTACTATCCATGAAGTATACCTGATATATATATATATGTATATATATGTTTCTATATATATTTGTATGAAAGTAGATTGTATATTATGTTATACGGATGAATATGACCTCCTGGGAACTGGAAACAAAACAGATCGTAACACGCCTATATTGCATCCTAGAGGTGGTGAGGAGAAAACAATAAATAGCAGTAAATTTACGTTTCGGAAATATTTTTATATTTTCATGAATGTGTTCATTACAGATACATGTTCACAAACAAGTGTTAAACCATGGAGAAATAGATGATTGAAAATTCATTACTAACAGATGACAGCAAACAAACGAATACCATTAAGAATCCGCAGAAATGAATTGCGACAAATCAGGGTTATTTGTAGGATCAGATTTTTTAGTGACTTTTACGTGTTTCTAATTTTATTTAAAGAGATTTTAAGAAAGAGGTATTTTGTCGCAGAGTATTGTTTTGTTAGCATACCAATGTCAACGTATATACATATTTGGTTAGAATTTCAGCAAAAGTTATGTAATCTTCGACTTTCGAAAAATAATCAAAAGACATTTGTTTATTGAGTATATAGAAAATAAGTAATGTTCATGTGTGGGTTATTTAAAACTTGTAAGTGTTTTGATATATCATAATATTTTATAAAGTTAATGTTGAAAATCATTTGTGATCAAAATAAACATGTGCATACATTAAAACCGCATATAGGATATCTAGTTTGTTAAAACTAATATAAATTATGTATATTATTCTGTTAAATGGAAACCGAAAAATATCCAAGAAATACATTAAAAATCTCAAAACTTATTTCTTTGCTTAGTGGCACCACTGTCAAATGTTATAAAAAATGTGGACTTTTTCCGCTCTCTCGAATTAAAGCGTTTCGGATCATTTTATCCATGACAAATACCGCGAAATTGTATACACCTTAAGATATTAATATGTTTCTTTATTTACTTTAGATAATACAATACATGTATAATCATGTTCCAAATCTCAAACAACTACAAATAATATATTGTATTAACAGTGCTCCCAAATCTCAAACATTTTCTCCTAAACATCCAACAAAACCCTAAATTCCCTTAAAAAATTATTATTAAGATAAATAATAAATTATTATTTATTTAATTATACTATTGTAACATTCTTTAACTGAAATAATCAATTATTATTGAATTACCATATATAATTGGATTTGCTCTGCTAAACCACAAAACAAATTCTGATATATTTTTCAACCCATTTCACAGTGTTCGGTTAAAAATTTATTATTCACAATAAAGAAAGCCACTGAAAATGAACATAAACTTATAATACCACAAAAACCCATTCGATTCTTAACGCTTAAATTTAGGGAAAATCCGTATCTTGGTAACATTGTACTAGACTCAACATTTCAAAAGTAAATTCCACTGAGTGACATAGACTTCAATATAGATACGTGAATCTATATCTATAGTACAACTTTAAATTTTTATTGTACACTTTTCTGGTTTAAACTTCTCATACCTTGCTTCAGTATATTCAACAAATTTTTAAGAATTTAATTATTTTCATTACTTTTTAAATAATAAAATTAATATAAAATACCCTAAATTAATTCATACCCCAAAAGTTTCCCACTACTTGTAAAAACCCAAAATTAAGGGAAATCCCCAGAGTTGGCATACTTATAAAAATAAACGTAACCAATCCCAAGATTTTCGCTAATGCACACGCAAAAATGTCCCACTTTGTACGGGTTGCCTCAAAATTTGTACTGCTAAAATCACACTTGGTACGGGTTGCTTACTCATATTCTCTACTATAGTCACAATGGATATGGGTACCATATTAATGTTCTACTACTAAAAGCCCAAATGCCTTAAATCTGCTACAATGTTTTTATTAAATATCCAAATATTTTTCGATTATTAAAATTCCTTAAGATTAAATTTACATTTAATAAGTATATGGCTGTGAGTGATTTAGAATCTTTTGTAAATATTATTTACTAATTAGTACATGCTTTGGATTATTAATATGTTGTTCATGAATTGTTTTATGGTATATTATTGTTTAAGATGCTTATTTCGACTTATATTCGTAATGTTATTACTATCCATGAAGTATACCTGAATATATATATATATGTATTGTTTCTATATATATTTGCTATGAAAAGTAGATTGTAGTATTATGTTATACGGATGAATATAGACCTCCTGCGGAACTGGAAACCAAAACAGATCGGTAACACGCTTATATTGCATCCTCAGAAACAATAAATACGCAGTAAACTTTTGTTTCGGAAATATTTTTGATAGTTTTCATGAATGTGTTGCATTACAGATACATGTTCACAAACAAGCTGTTAAACCATGGAGAAAGCCACGAGCTTGTGGTTTTCTTGCAGCATTTAAAATTCATTACTGAACAGATGACAAGCAACAAACGAATTACCATTAAGAATCCCGCAGAAATGAATTGGAAATCAGTGGGTTATTTGTAGGATCAGATTTTTAGTGACTTTTACGTGTGTTCTAATCTTTATTTAAAGAGATTTTAAGAAAAGCGGGTATTTGTCGCAGAGTATTGTTTTGCTTAGCAGTACCAATTGTCAACGTATATACAAGTACATATTTGGTTAGAATTCCCAGCAAATGTTGTAATCTTCGACTTTCGAACAATATTCAAAAGACATTGTTTTATTGAGTATATAAAAATAAGTAATGTTCATGTGTGGTTATTTAAAACTTGTAAGTGTTTTGATATATCATATATTTTATTAAGTTAATTTTGAAAATCATTTGTGATTAAAATAAACAGTTCTATATTTAGACCGCATATAGGATATCTAGTTTGTTAAAACTAATATAAATTATGTATATTGTTATGTTAAATGGAAACCGAAAATACCAAAGAAATGCAAATCTCCAAACTTATTTCTTTCCTTAGTGGCACCACTGTCAAATGTTATAAAATATTGGACTTTGACAGCGCTCTCTCGACCCAGCGCTCTTCAGTGTTCCAAATCTCAAACATTTTATCACTAAACCTCAAACAAAAACCACTTAATTCCCTAAAAAACAATTATTTAAGATAAATAAAAATTATATATTTAATTATACTACATTCTTTAACTGAAATAATCAATTATTATTGAATTACCGTATATAATTGGACTTGCTCTGCCAAAGCCCAAAGCAAATTCTTATATCTTTTTAACACATTTCACATTTTCAAATAAAACTTTATTATTCACAGTATAGAAAGCCCTGAAAATGGCCTCAACATATAACACATATAGGGAAAATCCGTATCTTGGTAACACTGTATTAGACTCAACATTGCAAAAGTAAATTCTACTGAGTGACGTAGACTTCAATATAGATACGTGAATCTATATCTATAGTACAACTTTAAATTTTTATTGTACACTTTTCTGGTTTAAACTTCCGAAATTTCTCATACCCTGCTTCAGTATATTGAACAAATTTTTGAATATAATTTTTTATTAGTTTTTAAATAATATATATATAGTTTGATAAATAAGATAAATAAGAAATCCCCAAAAATACCCTAAACAAATTCTCCTCCAAAGTTTCCCAATACTTAAAAAAAAACTGATTTAAGGAAAATCCCATAGTTGGCTTCACTGGATAAATATTCAAATAACCAATCATAAGATTTTTACTAATGTACACGCAAAATGACCAATTTTACGGATGCCTAAAATTTCTACAGCTAAACTACACTTGGTACGGGTTGCTTACTCATATTCTCTACTAAAGTCACACATGATGCGGGTTGCATATTTATGTTCTACTACTGAAACGTCCAAATGCCTTAAATCTGCTACAATGTGTTGGCGTGTTATGTTTTAATATTTATAACTTTAAGAATGTTTTTATTACATATCCAAATATTTTTCGAAATTTAAAATTCCTTAAGATTAAATTTATATTAATAAGTATATAAATATTATTTACTAATTAGACATTGCTGTTATATTAAATATGTGTTCATGAATTGATTTATGGTATACATATAATGGTTTAAGATGATTATTTCGTCTCATATTGTTATTGTTATTACTATCCATGAAGTGTACCTGCTTTTATATTCAATATATATGTATATATTTCTTTATATTTGTTATGAAAGTAGATTGTAATATTATGTTATACGGATGAATATCCGCTACTGTGTAACAGTCAGTAACACGCCTATATTGCATCCTTAAGGTGGTGAGGAAAACAATTAATATGCAGTAAATTTACGTTTCGCGAAATATATTGATAATTTTTCATTAATGTGTTACATTACAGATACATGTTCACATACAAGTTGTTAAACCATGGATAAAATGATTGAAAATTCATTACTAAACAGATGACAAGCAAAAACGAACTACCATTTAAAGAATCCCGCAGAATATGAACAACGATAAATATATGTATTAAGCAGTGTCCCAAATCTCAAACATTTTTTCCTAAACATCAACAAAAAACCCTAAAATTCCTTAAAAAAAATATTATTAAGATAAATAATAAATTATTATTATTTAATTATACTATTGTAACATTCTTTAACTGAAATAATCAATATTATTGAATTACCATATATAATTGGATTTGCTGCTAAACACAAAACAAATTTTAATATTTTTCAACCATTTCACAGTGTTCGGTTAAAATTTATTATCACAATAAAGAAACCCCTGAAAATGGCCTCAACATATAAAAAACACATTATAGGGAAAATCCGTATCTGGTAACACTGTATAGACTCAACATTTTCAAAAGTAAATTCCACTGAGTGACATAGACTTCAATATAGATACGTGAATCTATATCTATAGTACAACTTTAAATTTTATTGTACAATTTTCTGGTTTAAACTTCGAAATTCTTCATACCCTGCTTCAGATATTGAACAAATTTTTAGAATTAATTTTTATTAGTTTTAAATAATATATATATTATGTATAAATAAGATAAATAAGAAATCCCAAAAATACCCTAAACAAATTCTCCTCCAAAAGTTTCCCAATACTTAAAAAACTTAGATTTAAGGAAAATCCCCATAGTTGGCTTCACTGGTATAAATATTCAAATAACCAATCATAGATTTTTACTAATGACACGCAAAATTACCAATTTTTACGGGAGCCTAAAATTTCTACAGCTAAAGCTACACTTGGTACGGGTTGCTTACTCATATTCTCTACTAAAGTCACACATGATGCGGGTTGCATATTAATGTTCTACTACTAAACTCCAAATGCCTTAAATCTGCTACAATGTGTTGGCGTGTTATTTTTAATATTTATAACTTTAAGATGTTTTTATTACATATCCAAATATTTTTCGAAATTTAAAATTCTTAAGAATAAATTTAATTTAATAAGTATATAAATATTATTTACTTATTAGTACATTGTTGTATTATTAATATGTTGTTCATGAATTGATTATGGTATACTATAATGGTTTAAGATGATTATTTCGTCTCATATTGTTATTGTTATTACTATCCATGAAGTGTACCTGCTTTTATATTCAATATATATGTATATATTTTCTATTTATATTTGTTATGAAAGTAGATTGTAATATTATGTTATACGGATGAATATAGGCCCTTCTGTGGAACTGGAAATTCAAAACAGATCAGTAACACGCCTATATTGCATCCTTAGAGGTGGTGAGGAAAAACAATTAATATGCAGTAAATTTACGTTTCGGAAATATATTTGATAATTTCATTAATGTTGTACATTACAGTATACAAGTTGTTAAACCATGAATAAATGATGAAAATTCATTACTAAACAGATGACAAGCAAAAAACAACTACCATTAGAATCCGCATAAATGAATTGCGACATCAGTGGATTATTTGTGAAATCATGATATTTTGGTGACTTTTACGTTGTTTCTAATTTTATTGTAAAGAGATTTATTATAGTTTTGATTTTAAGAAAGAGCGGGTATTTTTGTCGCAGAGTATTGTTTTGTTTAGCATTACCAATTGTCAACGTATATACATATTTTGGTTAGAATTGTCAGCAAATGTTATGTAATCTTCGACTTCCGAATAAATAATCAAAAGATATTTGTTTATTGAGTATATAAAAAATAAGTAATGTTCATGTTTGTGTAATTGAAAACTTGTAAGTATTTTGATATATTATAATTTTTTTTAAGTTAATTTTGAAAATCATTTGTGATCAAAATAAACATGTGCATATATTAAGACCGCATATAGGATATCTAGTTTGTTAAAACTAATATAAATTATGTATATTATTCTGTTAAATGGAAACCGAAAAATATCCAAGAAATACATTAAAAAATCTCAAAACTTATTTCTTTGCTTAGTGGCACCACTGTCAAATGTTATAAAAAATGTGGACTTTTTCCGCTCTCTCGAATTAAAAAGTTTCGGATCATTTTATCCATGACAAATACCGCGAAATTGTATACACCTTAAGATATTAATATGTTTCTTTATTTACTTTAGATAATACAATACATTGTATGAATCAGTGTTCCCAAATCTCAAACAACTACAAGATAATATATTGTATTAAGCAGTGCTCCCAAATCTCAAACATTTTTCTCCCTAAACATCCAACAAAAACCCCTAAATTCGCTTCAAAAAATTATTATTAAGATATATAATAAATCATTATTTATTTAATTATACTATTGTAACATTCTTTAACTGAAATAATCAATTATTATTGAATTACCATATATAATTGGATTTGCTCTGCTAAACCACAAAACAAATTCTTATATATTTTTCAACCCATTTCACAGTGTTCGGTTAAAAATTTATTATTCACAACAAAGAAAGCCACTGGAAATGAACCTAAACTTATAAGACCACTAAAAAAAACCCATTCGATTCTGTAAACGCTTAAATTTAGGGGGAAAATCCGTATCTTGGTAACACTGTACTAGACTCAAAATTTCAAAAGTAAATTCCTCTGAGTGAAATAGACTTCAATATAGGTACGTGAATCTATATCTATAGTACAAATTTAAATTTTTATTATACACTTTTCTGGTTTAAACTTCTTAAACTTCTCATACATTGCTTCAGTATATTCAACAAATTTTTAAGAATTTAATTATTTTCATTAGTTTTTTAAATAATAAAAATTAAATATAAAAATACCCTAAATATATTCATACCCCAAAAGTTTCCCACTACTTGTAAAAAAACCCAAAATTAAGAGGAAAATCCCCAGAGTTGGCATCACTGATATAAAAATAATCGTAACCAATCCCAAGATATTCGCTAATGTACTCGCAAAAATGTCCCACTTTGTACGTTTTGCCTCAAAATTTGTACTGCTAAAGTCACACTTGGTACGGGTTGCTTACTCATATTCTCTACTATAGTCACAATGGATACGGGTACCATATTAATGTTCTACTACTAAAAGCCCAAATGACTTAAATCTGCTACAATGTTTTTATTACATATCCAAATATTTTTAGATTATTAAAATTCCTTAAGATTAAATTTACATTTAATAAGTATATGGCTGTGAGTGATTTAGAATATTTTGTAAATATTATTTACTAATTAGTACATGCTTTGGATTATTAATATGTTGTTCATGAATTGTTTTATGGTATAATATTGTTTAAGATGCTTATTTCGACTTATATTCGTAATGTTATTACTATCCATGAAGTATACCTGAATATATATATATATATGTATTGTTTCTATATATATTTGCTATGAAAAGTAGATTGTAGTATTATGTTATACGGATGAATATAGACCTCCCGCGAAATTGGAAACCCAAAACAGATCGGTAGCACGCCTATATTGCATCCTCAGAGGTGGCGAGGAGAAACAATAAATACGCAGTAAACTTTTGTTTGGGAAATATTTTTGATAGTTTTCATGAATGTGTTGCATTACAGATACATGTTCACAAACAAGCTGTTAAACCATGGAGAAAGCTCATGAGCTTGTGGTTTTCTTGGCAGCATTGAAAATTCATTACTGAACAGATGACAAGCAAACAACGAATTACCATTAAGAATCCCGCAGAAATGAATTGCGAAATCAGTGGGTTATTTGTAGGATCAGATTTTTTAGTGACTTTTACGTGTGTTTCTAATCTTTATTTAAAGAGATTTTAAGAAAGATCGGGTATTTTGTCGCAGAGTATTGTTTTGCTTAGCAGTACCAATTGTCAACGTATATACAAGTAAATATTTTGGTTAGAATTCCCAGTAAATGTTATGTAATCTTCGACTTTCGAACAAATAATCAAAAAAAACTTGTTTATTGAGTATATAGAAAATAAGTAATGTTCATGTGTGGGTTATTTAAAACTTGTAAGTGTTTTGATATATCATAATATTTTATAAAGTTAATGTTGAAAATCATTTGTGATCAAAATAAACATGTGCATACATTAAAACCGCATATAGGATATCTAGTTTGTTAAAACTAATATAAATTATGTATATTGTTATGTTAAAATGGAAACCGAAAAATACCAAAGAAATGCAAATCTCCAAACTTATTTCTTTCCTTAGTGGCACCACTGTCAAATGTTATAAAATATTTGGACTTTGACAGCGCTCTCTCGAAACCAGCGCTCTCAGTGTTCCCAAATCTCAAACATTTTTATCCCTAAACCTCAAACAAAAACCCACTTAATTCCCCTAAAAAAACAATTATTATTAAGATAAATAAAAAATTATATATTTAATTATACTAACATTCTTTAACTGAAATAATCAATTATTATTGAATTACCGTATATAATTGGACTTGCTCTGCCAAAGCCCAAAGCAAATTCTTATATCTTTTTTTAACACATTTCACATTTTTCAAATAAAACTTTATTATTCACAGTATAGAAAGCCCCTGAAAATGGCTCTCAACATATAACACATATAGGGGGAAAATCCGTATCTTGGTAACACTGTATTAGACTCAACATTGCAAAAGTAAATTCTACTGAGTGACGTAGACTTCAATATAGATACGTGAATCTATATCTATAGTACAACTTTAAATTTTTATTGTACACTTTTCTGGTTTAAACTTCTCATACCTTGCTTCAGTATATTGAACAAATTTTTTAGAATTTAATTCTTTTTATTAGTTTTTTAAATAATATATATATTATGTTTTGATAAATAAGATAAATAAGAAATCCCCAAAAAAATACCCTAAACAAATTCTCCTCCAAAAGTTTCCCAATACTTAAAAAAAACCTAAGATTTAAGGGAAAATCGCCATAGTTGGCTTCACTGGCATAAATATTCAAACAACCAATCATAAGATTTTTACTAATGTACACGCAAAAATGACCAATTTTTACGGGATGCCTAATAATTTCTACAGCTAAAGCTACACTTGGTACGGGTTGCTTACTCATAT